ATTTGTCTTACTTTCATTTGATTTTCGGATCTGCCTGGAACTTGATTCGATACTTAGGGGTCTTTAGATTTCTGTGATTTTCACGTTCAAGGAATTATGCACTGGGAGGAATTGTGATCTTTCTAATGCGCATTGATTTTACCTACGCAAATATCCATTCAAATTCCCTCTATCTCCGAGGCCATTAGACATTAGGTTAAAAAGTTGCGTGGGCTGTCACCTGTCTCAGCTAGATTAGCAGCCACACAGACCTTCTCAGTAGTCATTCCATGCTGTAAACGGTAGTGATATCCCTCCCTAGAGACGTCTAATCTCATGGCTTGCATCAAATATCGTTCTATCTCGTTCTATCACACTCTATCACACCGCTACTTGAGAGATTCGCTCACGGTTACCATATCCAAGAAGGCCCCGATGGGGCATATGGCCCTGTTTCTTTCCCATATTTTTGTGGATTAGCCAGATTTCCCAAACTTATTTACCTCCTTAAATTAAAAATACTAGATGTCTTTAAGTATGAAGGTCTGAATTGGGTTTGTCCACTTTGAATGAAGCCATTCAAGTACAAAACATCTAATATATAGGCCTGGTACCTACAGAAGAGACCTCCAAAATTTGTATGGGTTTATGCCCTTTCTGCTGGAGAGTACCTATTGATGCTTCTAAGAAATGGTCTTAAACACTGAAAGACCTGTTTATTTTCTTTATTTTCTTTTCTTACTCAAGGAGGTCTGGATAACATTGTTCAGCTCACTAAGTCAGGCAATACTCCACCGCCCCGCCTGCCCACCGCCTTGACCCCAAAGGCCTCGCCGAGCAAGGCGAATTGATTCTGTTGACCAAGACATTGCATAGAGACACCTTTGCGAGAGTGTTTCAATAAAAGCCAAATCGGTCGATACAGATTTGCTCCAGGAAGGAAATCAAATTGCTAATCCGGAGTCCACGACAATTTCACTTCCGCCCGTTCCTCCGCACCCCTCCTACCCCTCAACCACATCCAAGCTCCAAAGACAACATCCACAGCCAAGATGTCGATTCCCAACGAAGCTCTTCAAAAGGTGTGTCTCAGGCTGGATAAATCCCTGTTTTTGGGTCGGACACTGCGAGCAGATAGCCAGGGAAAGTGGTGTGCCAAGTCAATTCGGTCTCACTCGGCCTCTTGTCTCTCTCTGGTTTCCGATCCAGGATCTCAATTCCAATGGAGGTGTGCAAATGCTAATGGTTTCAACAACTACAGCTCCTCCAGGAGATTGAGACCCGTGCGGTCGCCTCGCAGCAGCAGATCAGTATCACCAAGGCTCATATGACGGCCAAGCAGCGCGATATCCGCATGCTGCAGCTTACATCGAAGGAGTTGTCTGAGTTGCCTTCCGAGACGAGGGCTTACGAGGGCGTTGGAAAAATGTGCGCATTTTTATTTTCCCTTTCTATTTTTATTTTCCTACCTTGTCTTTTTGTTTCTTATCTATTTCATCTCTCTTCTCCTGTTTTGAATTTTGCGACTCCGAAACAGACACAGTCGGGGAAATTTCTCATTGGCCCCATTTTTCGTGGAACCGAGACTGACTTATCGCCCTGTTCCAGGTTCGTCAACGTTCCCGTCGACACAGTCAACAAGCGCCTTACGCGCGAGAGCGGCGAAGCCACCGCTGAGATCGCCAACCTCGAGAAAAAGCTGCAATATCACGAGATGACGAACCAAAAAAGTCGGGAGAACCTGGAGCAGATTCTCAAGTCTGGTGGGAGGGCGTGAACAAAATGTTGAATAAGAATATGAGATGAGAGCAAGACGTGAACGCGATGCGCTCCCTTGTGGCGGGTACCCTTGGTTGTGGTATCTTTATACCAAAGGTTCAGCGACTCTCGCGAATGTGAAGGGAACAGACAATGCTGATTCTACTTTGTCTTTTTCTTCCGGGTGGATCTGCGACACAGGTGGATGGCTTGGAGATGCGGTCATCTTGAGGCTGACGAGTGGATACGATACCCTATGCCCGGTGGAGATGCAGGAAAGGTACGGATGTTTGTCCTTCTATGTCCGGCTGGCCTGGTCAGGTTCTGGCGACTATACATACTTGGGTTTAGGCTGGTGAGTTAGATACCCAGGAGTTATTGTTTGCAAAAATATCTTTCTTTCGGTGAATCAAGCGAGGAAAGAGTGTCCACAAGTGCCATGATAACCTCTTACATATACATCCGTGATTGTTTGTCAATGCCTGAATCTGGATTTTCAAGAATAGATTGATCTTCAGCTCTCTAGCAAGAGGCCATCGAGAGAAATACGTAGCCTCGATGCTAACATGCCAAAATTTAATATCTTCAATGCACTAGTTGCGTCTCAAAAAGCACATTGTGGGGCCGGTGGTAGCTTATCGTGCTGCAGCTGTCATTGTCAACGATGCAAGGGTCCTCAGATGCGAAGCACGGTTAAATTTACTTCGCCTTCGTTCTGTCTAGTATGCGACATACAATGAGGTGAATAAGTAGCCCTAATATGTCCATAGTATATCATCAAAAGCCAATTTTGTAGGGCTGATATGCCAAGCGTAGTCAAATCGAAAGTATACTTCAAAATCAGTGACTGCTGTCTTGCAAGGTTCTAAGGCAGCGAAAAAATATTAATCGTAAAATCATGCATAATTCAAAATATACGATATACAACGTACATCGTACATTGCAGGACTCTCATCTGCTACCAGACCAACGCGATCAGCGTCATCTCGGTGCTCAGAGTACATCAACGCCCATGTTCCCCATCGGGTATATTAAAAATGACGTATATCTGGGCAACACAATCGCTCATTCCCTGGAATGAGAACCAACGGCGCATAATTCGTGGAACAATACCATGTGATAGGCTTATTCATTGTGGCAACTTCACGGCACTGGCAATAAGTGACGGCCCGGCCGCCGAGTGGGCGAGAAAAGTGCCCTTGCCGCTGTTATTGCAATGACAGGGTTCCCTTGCCTTAGGACTGGAGATGGACAGAGCTCGTTGTATAACTTACAGACATACAATGTACCTTTTCCGTCACTGTAGCTGTTCGACGAGTAGCTTATTCTAGGTGTGGTGGCTTGGGTTGGGGCGCTATATGTGTAGGTTGGATATAAGGCTAGAAAACAGTCTAAGGGTTACCCCTGGCCATTGATATAGATAGCATTACCTTGTTTTGAGCTATAATATTAAGCCAGGAAGCTTCAAGTTAGATGCGATCAATGCACAGTGTAAACGATGCAGCGAGAAGTGCAGTTTTTCGATGGACTTAAGAACTAGACACATGAAGTGTAAGTGTCAAATATAAGTGTTATAGAGGTGACGTAGAAACTAAAAGAAGCAAGTCGGGTGCAGAGGTCAGGCGTCCACGGGTCATTTCACGGGAACACCCGACCTCATCCACAGGTTCATCGTGCATTCCATGGATGGTATCACGTTCTCGGATATGGAAATTTCCTTTTTTGGCTCATTTACCAAGTAAAATTGAGCGCATGCTTCATCTGCTCAGCTTCAAGCTCCGGAACAGCCCTAATCCGACAACTACCATAGCAAAGAACCATTCTGACTGGCTGATGACCGCATATGTCTGCCCCTCGCTCTCCCAAAAGCGGCAACTAAGATCCATGGGTAGAAAGCCCCACACGGAAAGCTACCGTGTATTGAAATGGATATAGGACGAACATGAAATACCATTGGTGCCCAATCCATCGTCGCAACGAATTATATTCCGAATTCCTAGTTGTCAAAATTAGGTAGAAAACAAGAGCCAGCGCCTAAATGAACCCAAACTCGAGTGACAAGATTATCCAACAAAAAAGGAGTCGATCGTACAATATAGTTTCAGTAACCGCCGTTTGTCTTTTAGATGCATTCTCAGCGTCTCATAGCATGTTAGCGCGAAAGGGTCCGATCGTGGCTATTTTAAGTGGCGCATACGAAGGGCATGGTTTCAGGGATTATGCATCAGGAATGCCTGATGTGCGGTCTAGAAGAATTAGTGTTGGAGTGCCCAGGTGTTAGGGGCGTTAACATTAATCTCGAGATTGGACTCGAAGTGGGGCCCTGATGACGATGCTTTGTATCCCAACCATGGAGTTGGGTTGGAGAGACGGGACCGTGTAGAAAGTAGAGAGGAAAGACGGGAATAACTAGTATATGAGTTGTTAATAGAATGGAATATAAGAGAGAGTGCGGGGTATATCAGAGTACAAAGCATTATCGAGTCGAATCCACAGATTATGCGCCATGAGGCTGAAATGCAGTGCTAATTAAAAATGACGCCCATGACGCCCAGCTGAATAAATAAAAAGGTAGTCCAGACCTGGCTTCCCTCTTTTTCTCTTTCTATTTCTCCCCAGCCCCTCCCCCGCTTCGGCTGACGGTATAAGCGCACACTTCTCGTATACAAATTTTGGACTGTTTTTGGCCCCCATTCCTTTTTGTTCTTCAGCTTGCTTCTCATTTCTTTCGCTTTCTTTTGGTGCTCATATCTATCCTATCATCTGCCACCTGCACCTGATAACCCCGCTCAGGCCCCTATCTATTAGGGTCCCAATCTATAGTATCAATACCCCCCAGACTCTTCGCAACCCCGCCAAAATGCCCGTACAAGCAATGTTTGACGACGATGACTACTCCTCGAATGACTCGGAGTTCGAGACCGACATCACGACCCGGCGAACAGGTCTTAGAACCCATGTCCGCGAGCGCTCTGCCTCGCGCCACCGCCGCCCGGAAGTCATCTCTCGCGAGTACCTAGCGCCAGTCCAAACCCGCGTGCACCGGTCGGCCTCGACAAGCGGCCGACGCCGCGAGCGCGACCCACCAGTGGCACCAGTGCCACCATCGGTATTGATTTTCAATGAACAAGGGCTGAAGTCAAACAGCCGCTCGGAGAACAAGCCTCAGTCTCGACGGGTGCATCAGCAGTGGGATGACCATCACAGCCACAACAACCGCAACCATCACAGCAACCACTTCGATGACGATGACGATGATATCCTGCATGCGCCGGCGCCCCCGCGTCGCCGACGGGCCGTCAGCAGCGTCTCGCGTGATGCATCCCCCTTCTACCGTGACCCCGAGCTGGCCATGCGCCAGAACCTCCTGGACCACAATGACATCCGGCAGGACATGAGCAACCAACTGCTAGAGCACGACAATCGCCGGCAGGACATGGATCTCTTGAAGCATCAGATAGAGATCGAACAGCTGCAGCGAGAGCTGCTGAAGTCTCGTAAGCGCAGCGAGAAGGAGCGCGAGAAAATTATTATAAATGAGCAACCCGATCCGCAGGTTCTCAGAGACGAGTTCGCATATGAGCAAGAGCTGCTGCATAAGCTGCAACGGTTCGAGCGCAAGGAACAATCCGCGGAGGAGGACCGCAAGGCCGAAGAGCGCTATCTGCTCAAGAAGCTTGCGGCGGAGAAGAAGGCTGCTGCTGGGGAAGAGGAGCTTAGACATAAACTGCAGGAGGAGAGGTTGAAGGAGATTGCGCGCGCGCAGGACGAGAAAGGACAAAGGGAGAAGCTCGTGCGGGAGGAAAGGTGGAAGGAGCTTGCAAGGGAGAAGGAGGAAGAAGAGGAGAGGCAGAAACTTGTCCGAGAGGAAAAGTGGAAAGAGCTTGCCCGGCAGAAGGAAGAAAGGGAGGAGCGTGAAAAGCTCATTCAGGAGATTCGAGATGAGGATATGCGGAAGGCGAGGGAGGCTGAGGAGAAGAGGAAGAAGGAGCTCGCCATGAAGGCTGCTGCTGTTGAGGAGTGGAAGGTTGAACAGGAGCGGATAAAGCAGAGACAGGCGGAGGAGGCGATTAAGAAGGCGAAGGAGTTCCGCGATCACCTTCGTAGCATTGGCTATTCCGAGGAAGAGATTGATGCGATCATCAATAAGAAAAAGAATGAGGAGAAGAAGAAAGAAGAGAAGAAGAAGGAAGAGAAAAAGGAGGAAGAGAAGAAGAAGGAAGAGACCAAGCTCACGTGGATTAAGGTATGGAGTTACCCTGAGTTTGTATTCCCTCGATATACCAGGGCTTAACTGACGCTATACCAGGTCCATCGCAAGCACTTGATGCCAGATACCTTGATAGCCTATGGTCTGCCTTGGGACTGGGACGAGGTAAGAATGATAACCCTGAGTGCAGCAGTATAATGGAAACTAATATGTCCACAGCACGACGCCAACTACATCATCATCAAAAAGTGGATAGACGACGACTTCCAAGAACAGCTCTTTGCCCACACCCGACGTCTACGCGAGGGTAAGGTCATTGCCGAGACATCCCATTCGACGACCGAACTGAAAGTCAACGACCGCAAAAAGGACAGACTGTTCTTGGTCCGGAAGAAGAGCCCTTCAGGCCGGGTGCGCATCTTCGGATAAACTCTTCTATTCTGCGCTGTCTTGGTTATGATTGGTGCTTGCACAGGAAATTCGGATTCACAAATATCCATGGATGTTCTATTTGAATGTTGTTATTGTGTTGTTTCTTGTTTCTTGAGATCCGGTCTGATTGGACTTATTTTCGTTGAAATTGTGCTGAGTTGTGTTGTGTTGAGATCTGTTCCTTTTCGTTTTGTTTTATTTTTATATCACAGAGTATGTGGTAGTACAGTAACGTGATATGAGTTGACGACCTTGTTTTTATTTTGATTCAATCTTCTCTCTCATTGTACCGGCCTGCCCTATGTATGCAGGCCACCGTCACCTGTCTAATCTACATACAGGGTTGACGAATATTCGGTGGTCATAGGTGCTTGGAACAGCTAAATTGGGGGATACCAATGGTATAGACGGAAAAGTTGAGGTCTGGAATTATATGATAGGCGATATGTGGAGATGCAATACAATATACATGTCAGGTCTCAGCCCTGTGTAAAAAGAACTCCCATTGGGCCAATCCCAATGCAGGTATGCCATCTGAGCACGGACCCAGATGCGAGGTGGAACGGGGTCTGAACGGACTATAATACAGAAAGTGGAATGGGTATGATGTGAGGGAGAGTGATAGCCAAGAGCAGTTAAAATGCAAGCCTAAAGACCAATCTGAGAATTCGTTTCCCACCGCCTCTCAGCACGCAGGATGAGCTCCTCATAGACAGTCCATGCCAACGCGGAGCTAATGGCCTTGCGAGCCATGCGGATACCAAGTCCACCAAAAAGACTGCGCAAGCCATCCTCGTGGATCATCAAGCGGGTAGCATGCACCATATTTCCGTATTTGGCAGGCATCAGCTGCAATCGGGTCTTGACGGCATCAAAAGGATTGGTGATTGCTGTCGCCATGCCGGCGGCCGCTCCACCGGAGACGAAGTGTATTGACGAGGACGAAACACCACTTGGTGTCTCGCCATTATTAGAAGGTTCTGCGGCCATCAAGGCGAACCGTCGCTTCAATTGCTCGTAGAAGAGCACATAGAGGCCGGCATATGGGGCATCACGAGCGGCAGTAGCGCCAAATCCTGCGAAGAGTCCACGCAGGCCTTCAGTGCGGACGATATCCCGACCTGCGCCTAGTAAGCTGCGATACGCGTAGTAGTCTGACTCATAGCGGACCTTGATCACGGTCACGGGCATCATTACGAAGCCTGCGGCGACTCTTGCGACGGCTCCCGTGGCAAGATTGGCTGTGTTGGATAGTTTGGGGAGGACGGAGGACGATCTAGCGCTTGCTACCGGACTGGCTAGGGCCATTGGGTTGGATTGTGCAACGGCTTGGCGCAATGCGTTGAGACTGGTGAAGTATAGTGCCGACCCGAAGCCGGTGCGGAGGGCTGAAGGGAGTGTCCCCCGCCATAACCCACGGATTGGGTTCGGTGAGGATATGATCGCCTTCAAAGTCGGGAGGAGGGCGGCTCCCTGGGACTGTTGAACTCGAGTTTTGAGGAGGTCCGCGGGTTGGAGAAGGATGGAGGAGGTAAGGCCAGAGCAAAGACCAGCAGCAAAGTGGAAGGGGGTTTTTGAAGCTGAAGCAATAAGAAGATTATGATTAGCAATGGAATGAAAATGATTGTGGTTCGAACAGAAAGCATACTTTTTGAGGTGCTCGCTTTCACCTGTGGCACCGCTAAGGTGCTATTGTTCGACATCGCTGGGTCAACTCGGACCGCAACTTCGGTAACAGGTGAGTATATTTAGTTTAAAGGTCAAATATTCAATGCTAGATCGAGCTCCATGGGCGTCGTGCATTCAACGGTCAAGAAGGCGCCGAGATCCACCGGATGCGTAAAAAAAAAAAGAAAATTCCACGGAGACGGTCACAGCCAAATATGCGCACCAGCTTGCATCCCACCAGGGAGTAAACGAGAGGAAAATTAAAATTGGACAATATAGAGAGCAATTTCAAGTTCTGAATTTGCCGAGGTCACAGAAAGACGTTGAAAATAGTGAAGTCATCGGGGTCAGCAATGGCTATCGATAAGCCACACCGCTTGGGGATTTTTACAACCATTGTACAATATATAGGGAAGTACAAGAGTAAAAAAGTGAAGTTCAATATTAATCCAATCAATAGCTCATTCAAATAGTATTCCAAAGTCAACTACATAGTATATCTATCATATGACTGCGATACCATCCTTCATGCGGCTCTTTAACCTTGAGGCTGTGTCCTGTACTATGTAGATCATTTGCTGTACAACACATATCTTGTTTCATAGCTCGAATGCAGCAACATACAGAATATAAATAGAAGTATAGATAGAAATACAAATACATAGGAAGATCAATAAATAGAAGAAACAGAATCCGGCATCTCGCGGAGTGTGCACGGACCAATCAGCCCCGTGGGTAATCGACGTCATGTGGTTCGTCGTCTTTTCTTTTCCTTTCGCCTTGGATTGAGAGAGACTTCAGACTCCGTACAGCTTAAAGAGTTAACATCTCTGTTCGACCTTGGTATACAGTATAATGCCTTGGTCTTTGCCCTTCTTTCCGTATCCGCCCGCAAAGGACGGATACTGGGAGCCTGTCACTTCCACCTTGAACTGGTGCGAAGAGGTGTGTACCAGAAGTGGCGCACATACAACTACGCTAATATATCCCTTTGCAGGACTATTATGCCACCGAGTACGCCGCAGAGATTGTCAACACACTCACGAATTTGCTGTTCATGTGGCTTGGAGTCCAGGGGATACGGAGCTGCCGTCGCAATGGACATGACCAAATCTTCACGGTCGCCCTCATTGGATACCTAGTAGTCGGAACAGGGAGCTTCCTGTTTCACTCGACCCTCAAATGCAAGTGTCCCTCCAGGGCTATACCCCCTCCCAAGCCCAAGGTCTGGTTTAAACGGCGGCGGGCCTTCACCAAACATACCTAAACCGATATATGGGTGATCGCAAGAGCAATGCTGACCGGTGAACCCCCGCAACAGACCCCATGCAACTAGTTGACGAACTCTCGATGATCTATACCACATGCCTTATGGCCTATGCCTCATTCTCGTACTCCCGGTCCACCACCGTACGAGTCTGTCTCGGAGTCTCGCTCGCAGGTCTCGCTGTATTCATCACCCTGTACTACCACTACCTCCAAGACCCAGTCTTCCACCAGAACGCCTACGCGCTCCTGACCACCGTCGTCGTCCTGCGCAGCATGCACACTATGGAGGTGACCCTCCGACCCAAGTGGCGCCACTCGACGGAGCAGGACCGCCTAGCGCGCCAGAAGAAGGGACTCCCCGTTCCGACGAAGGAGCGCCAGCACTATGAGAACGTGCGTGACGAGAAGACCCTCAAGACCATGTGGTTCATGGTGGCATATGGACTGAGCATGTTTTTGGGGGGTTTCTTTATCTGGAGCTTGGATAACGTGTTCTGCTCTGACATCCGCCGGATGCGCCGCTCTGTTGGTCTTCCATGGGGTATCTTTTTGGAAGGCCATGGCTGGTGGTATGTTAAACCTGCACCGTCACTATTGGACTGTTTGCTAATTCATTCTTCCTTGCAGGCATATCATGACTGGCATCGGTGCTTATTTCTATATCACATGGGGAATCTGGCTCCGCCACTGCCTGAACAACCGGCAAGAAGAATATCACCTGCGCTGGGCGCACTTCTGGCAGATCCCCGAAGTGATTCGCACCTCGGGCGGGCCATCCGAGAACGGGGTATCCCGAGCCAAGAAGTCGACGTGAAACAGCCGGACATTTTCTCTCCCCTAGTTGGTTCATTACTCGTACCCATCGTTGCTTATGGGTGGCGATATACCACACTCTTGCAAATGTGACTCCCAACATAACATGAAATGGATACAACGCTCCTCCTTGTCTGCCCTTTGCTGCGAGACTCGGAGCAGAGCACTGTTTTTTATTCTCTCTTGTCGTTGCTTTTGCACAGCTTCCACGAACACAATTCGTCCTGGAGACGGATATTTTGCTTTGGACGATAGATATAGGATACCTTCTTTTTCTCTTTCTTGCTACGTGGGGAGACGCGGGGTCGTTGCTATAGATGGGAGTCAGGCTTGTGAGCTATTATGATCGTCGATTTGGCTTACTCATAAGATCTGAAAGCAATAGAAAACACTCAGACAATGCAGTCTTGGACATTCTATATTCATGCTAAGATAATCCGCCAAATCAGACTATGCATGGTTATTATACTTACGCTCAACGCTACGAACGAGGCAGGCACAAAACCCGTGTGAGATAGCTCTACGAACCACCCACTTACAGCTTCGACTCCCCATTCTGCACCGCCTTCTTCGGCCTTCGCACCGGCGCAGGAACTTTCTTCAACCACTCCGCATCAACAGTAACCTTCTCAATTTTCGACTTCCGACTCCAAGCTGCACGGAAACTGTCCTCCTCAGCACGCCAGCGACGGATCTCCGGCGCAAGCCAACAAACCGCCGCATCAGCACACTCATTCACAGCCTCCTGGGCAAGGAGATGGCCAAACCCTTCGAGGAAGACATCACGCACGCGGCCCGCAGCAACACCACCACTGCCGCCCAGGCCGGTTCCCGTATTGGCGAGCTTGTCGGCGCGCATGGCGGGAAGACACATGTCCGACTTGCCGGCGAAGATGTACAGCACGCTGGGGCGCAGGAACGGGAGCTGGGAGAAGATGCGGGCTGGCTCTGGGCGGTAGAAGGGGTAGCTATCTTGATGGGTTGCGTCTAGGTCTGGGTGTGTTACGCGGTTGACGGGCTTGGTGCTGTTCGGGATGTGGCTGTAGTTTGGCCGCGAGAAGGTGAACACTTCTTGGTGCAGTGGGGTTCGGAGGGTTACTGGGGGTCCGGTGGTTTTGTCTGTCCGGGTCTTGGGGTCTAGTGGGTGGATTGCTGTTGGGAGGTCGCGCAGACCGTGCTCGATCCAGCGGGATAGCACTCGTGGGTCCCAGGCTTGGTAGAAGGGGCTCCGACGGAAGCCTTCTGCGGCGGCTTGGCGGGATGGCCAGATATCGCGCCGGTGGGTTGATAGTTGGGTTGTTTTGGCGATCTCGCGCTTGTTGTTTTGGAGGCTGAGACCGTCTAGTTGGGTTGTTTGACGTTGGATCACTGGGTCTAGGAGGATTAATGTGTGGATGAGTCGGGGATGCATTAGACACAATTGTGTGCTAGGGGATCGTATTAGCCAGCTGCTGCGTGTATGTTCTCGTTGTTGAAACTTACAGATGGGCGCCTCCCATGCTATGCCCGATGCCAACGATAGGCCGGGGCATCTCAGCTCGCTTGACATTGATTAGGTGGAGGAGATCTCGGGGATGGTCGAACCAGCTGGCTGTAATTAAGTTAGCATCATGATTACTGCTCACAAGACATCCATATTGCATACGATCATTTCCGAGGGAATCTTCATTGATCACACTGCTTTGGCCTTCATGCGCCACATCGGCCATCCAGATACTGCGAATGCGCATCCCATTCTGCTTAGACCGAGCGTAGATTTCCTCCCAAAGTGGCTCATATAGTTCCTGCGAGAAACTATCAGTACATCTCGGATTCTATGTTTCGAAGACCATTGCAATGCGCGCAGCTCCGAAAGCGGATCTGGCGGCTCTGGACCTCGGCATTTTGTATCTCATACCTTAGGGAAGCCATTCGCGTGGGCTCCAATGATAGTAATATCGCCTGGCTGTGGATTTGGATTGTCCAGTGGGATATATTGTTTCACGGCCAGATGCAAGGGCTCTTCTTGGTCGTTGGCCGTAGCTCCAGGATACTCCCTGATGTGTTGAGTCGGCACGACATGCTCAACTATGCGGAAAGGGGACGACATGTTGTGCAATGTTGCCCTTTTAGGGAGAAGCGATTGTATTTATTCCAGTTCGGAATTATTATAAGATCAAAGGGAAACGAGTTTAGTAAAATTCCGAGAGACCGCGGTTTTGCGGGGGAAACGAGCCGAGGATCTTTTGGGGTTTGAGGCATTCGCCTCTGTTCAACTGCCGATGATTCTCCTTTTCATACCAGCTAATACTTAGGTGCATGTAAATATGTTATTTTCAACTCAAGAAATATTTGGTCTTGCAGCTGCAATAATTGATAGTTCCGGTTGGTTTGGACGCGACGGAGCATAATTTAGCTGGCGCATATCCAAGCTATAAGCCATAAGATATACCCTGCCCTCTGCCGGGTGAAGGAGGCTATAAAATATCTTTTTATAGAAAAATACACCTCTGGAACTTATTTGATTTCAAGTCAAAGACGAGAGAGACAGCATTGCCGCTAGGACTGTTCCTGACATGATATTCCCGAACAAGCAAAGATGCTACATTATTCTATATACTACTCTGCACTGAGAGCAAGACAGGCATCAACAGCTAGGCCAACCCTGCGAGGAACAGTTAATCAAGACCCAATATAGCAATCAAACATCTGCAAGGATAGAAAGTACTCACCTCCCCTCTTTCATCTTAACGACGTCATCAATAAGATCCCGATCTAGGTCGGGAAACATGTTCGAAAGTGTCTCGACGACATTATGATGTTCGGCACGTTGTATACGGCGCGCCTCCGCATCTTCAGCACTAGCCTGGCGTGCGGCGGCGTCCTGAGCGTCGAGTACGCGGGTTAGATTCTTCTTCGCGGAGGTTCCCCTACCGTGGGCAGAGTGGGCGCGCTCATCACCTGAGCGGCGGCCGTCCTCGCTGCTTGCACGAGGAGGCTGGTAGACGTTCGGGGTGAGACGGGGCGGAGCAACAACGGGTTGGGGCGTCGGGACAGGCTGGGGGTGTTCCTGAGAAGTCACAGGACCTGAATCCGAGTCGTCCGAGAAGATGCGGCCGATAGTGGAGAGGGGCTTTTGGATTGTGCGCAGTAGTCCTGCGACTGGGGCGGAGGTGTCGTCGTCACCGGATTGGGTAGTGTCTTTGCGGCTTGGTCCGGCCTGGGGCTGAGATGAAGGGGGTTGGGTGGAGGGCTTCTCTTCGAAGGTTTCGGATTCGCGGTTTTGTTCTGCAATAGCGGACACGGCAGCTTCGACGTTGCGTTCGAAGTCCTCGTCGCTCACGGTTAAACTTGTGCGGTCGAGGGTCTCGATGAATTGGATGGCTCCAGACTATGAGAGGTCAGCCTTTGATATCCAGAGCAGTATGGAAGTCAAACATACCAACGATGAGATGTAATACCCTGCTTCACCGCCAAGTTTATCCTGGTTGCGGAATCGAAGAATGTATTGGATGTTAGAAACAAGATGGTCAGGGTTTGCATGCAAAACCACGTAGATCAGGAGGGGGATAAAAGAGTCGGCGGATGTGTCTGCCTTTTTGGAATTCTTTAATAGACCAAAGATGACTTTGCAGCAGTTCAAAATGCAAATGACCTTATCTCTGGGAGCCCGGTAGCCATTGATTTTTGATATTTCTGTCAAGCAAAGTCAGAAAGTCAGAAAGTTGGAACCCCAAGATAGCCCATAGTACATACCTTGCTGTGCTAAATTCAAGAAACGGCGTCCACCGCCGCTCACAGTCGGGATGTCCAGATGCGCTTCGTTGACCCAGCTGTAAATGCGAATTTTCTGAGCCAGGATATCGTCTCGCTCAATGTCCTCCTGATGCTGGCCACGTCGCCACGGTCCATGGAGCCTCTCTAGCTCTCTCCGTCGGCTTCGACTTGCACTTCTGGGTATCGTTGGCGGAGATGGAATGGCTGGGGCGAAAGTCTGCGAATACAGACGATTCATAACAAGTTTCTCCATGCCTTCCTTCGCATTATCGAATTCACTATCCGATATGTCTCGCCAGATCTCGCACATGGCCATCTTATTTGTGATAAACGTCAGGAAATCGCTGATGATCTTCACTTGCTCGTGGACCATCCATTGCTTCTTGCCAAACTCCATGAGGAACGACCGCAAAAACTTGGCTACCGGGTCGGCGGTGCGGTGACGCAGCTGTTCTAGGAAGCGGTGGAAATCAAATGGTTGCTCAGACTCTGGTTCCGGCATGGGTGGGACAGTTGAGGTGGACGCTCGCCGGTTTGATACCGGCGATTCGGGCTTGTGAGGATGTTGGGATACAGGCTGTTTCTCCGGGGATGTAGCGACCGGAGAATTCGCAGACTCGGTGGATTGGGCATGGTCCAAACTGGATTTGCGTGGCGGGAAATACGTTGGACCGCCTCGGAATTGCTCAGCAAGCTCGAGCCGTGGAGACATGATCACATTTTGATCGGTGCTCCGCGCGGGGTCCTGGAACTGTCCCATAATACTTTGAATCTCCGGCTGGGAGGCATTATCCTCCCTAAGCCCTTCGACCTGGCCACCTCGTTTAGAGTCCGGATCGCTATCACTAGGCACATCTGGGAGCTCTTTCTCGGGGCTGGGGGTCCGGTCTGTATCGATGGGTGGCAGTGTTGGCGCAGTGGTTGTAGAGCTTGCATTCAGGTTGAGGTAGACATCGTCCTTCTGGGGCGGAGGGGGCGGAGGAGTATTCGCGCTGGATGATAGATTGGGTGTGGTATTCCCTGAGACCGACAGTCGTTCCACCTGCCCCGCAAGTTGTTGTTGCTCAGCCTGTGATGGTTGGGCTGCTGTCGGCAAGTCTATCGCGGCGGGATCGGCGAGAGCAGCCGCGGCGTGCGGCTCCGCTGTGTCTTGCGCACTCATTTGGACTGTTTGACCGCGGTCCGGTTTTGCGAGATCGTCCTGTGTTTGAGCTAGGAGATCGGTTGGAGTGGCCGGCGTCTCAGTGTATTCATGGATATGTGGGACGTCTCTCGTCTCGGGACCCGGAGAGGACGGGGATTCTGTGGCCGACATAAGCTATATTAATCATATGGGCCTGGACTAAAAAGATAGATTCAGGGGGTCATAAAGGCTCCGAGTATGCTCATGCGGCTCTCATGTTGATGTGCGGATCATCATTGAACCGAGGTAGTCCGCTTCTCGATTCGGGCTATGTACATCGATGGAGGAATGAGTGCCCAGCTGGTTTCTCTCTTTCATTTGAGGAGACTGGTTAACAGAACGAAATATCAATAAATACAACATTATGGATTCGACAATGAGCAATAATCTATTTACTACCTACATGCAGTTCTAACAAATGCTCAACCTTTGTACCTTCAAAGGTAGTTGCATGGTGCCCTTCTTCTTTTACTGAGCTCAGAGCCAAACTCACTTTAGAGAGAAAATGCCACCTAGCAGAAATTACCTCAATTTCAACGCCTTACAATCCGTTGTGAATGCATCTACTGGTGACAACTTCACAGATGCCCAGGTCACGGGTGTCCAGGTGATCTATAAACATGACTAATAAATTAATGCCTCAGGCGCAAATATATCAAAAAAGCTATCAAGCTAACCATCTCAGGATAAACAGCACTCGCACCCTGTTCCTCCGCCATGTGTGGGATTTTCTTTTCCCTGAGCTCATCAAAGCCCACACCATCAACACAGGAGACCTGCACTCTGCTGCAAAAGCGAGGGCCAGACAGCTACAAAACGCATACAGCGCAAAAAGATATCGCACAGGATGGAGTGTCTCCGCCCCTTTCCTATTATCTCACCTTCACATCCACAGTGCTTTCATTGAGAGGCGACCATGTGTATACACAGCCACTTGTAGACCCCACAACCCAGTCTGTGCTCTGCTGGAACGGAGAAGCCTGGAAGATCGCTGGGGAGCGCGTCCAAGACAATGATACCGAACGCGTTTTCAACTTATTTTTACAGGCAGTGGATGGTGATCATAAGGACTCTGTCCAAAGAATGGCTGAAGCTATTGCACGTCTCTCCGGGCCATTTGCCTTTGTCTTCTATGATGCGGCCAACTCAAGGCTCTTCTACAGCAGGGATTGTCTTGGGAGGAGATCTCTGCTCGAGGGCTTCGATGAGAATGGGAATTTGAAGATTTGCAGCATTTGCGACAGTGCATCGGTGGATTGCTTCAAGGAAGTGGGTACCGAGGGCGTTTGTACGATTGACCTAGCTCGCTATCAAGATCCTCCTTTATCTCCCAGAGAGTTGTGCCAAATCGAGATCTTGCCATGGAGCTCCGCTGCTTCACTGCCAGCTGATCACATTGTATGTCCTTCATATCTTCCTGGGGGAGCAGCAACTGACAAAAGACTAAAGAGAAAATCAATTCCACCCATGAACACATCATTACCAATAGAGCAGCCTCCTGCATTGACAACAGACTCAGTATTCGTCGAGCAGCTCGAGTCGAAACTGCGTCAATCACTTGAATTGAGGATACAGAACATCCCCGAGCCTCCAGGCTACATTGCAGGCGAGACCGCCAAAACCGCCGTCCTCTTCTCCGGCGGTTTAGACTGCACTCTTCTCGCCAGACTCTCCCATGACATTCTCCCCCTCAATGAACCAATCGACCTCCTCAATGTAGCATTCGAAAACCCCCGAGTGGCCGCAGCCGCAAAAGCCAACCAACAAAAATCCCCCTCCTCACCCCTCTCCATATACGAAAACTGCCCAGACCGGATAACCGGACGGTCCGCGCACATCGAGCTCCAAGCAACCTGTCCAGGCCGCACATGGCGTTTCATCGCCATCAACGTCCCCTATACAGTAACACTCGCACACCGGGAGCAAGTCAAGCGCCTAATGAGACCCCACAACACCGAAATGGACATGTCCATCGCATGCGCCTTGTACTTCGCATCCCGCGGCCAAGGCACAGCTCAAACAAACCCTTCAGCCCAACTCCCAGCCCCAGACACCCCCTCACCCATCTACACAACCTCCTCGCGCGTCCTCCTCTCCGGCCTAGGCGCCGACGAGCTCTTCGCCGGCTACGGCCGTCACGGCGTCGCCTTCAACCGAGGCGGATTCAAAGACCTGATCGCCGAGATTGACCTCGATGTCAGTCGGCTCGGTTCGCGCAATCTCGGCCGCGACGACCGCGTCCTCTCCCACTGGGGCCGCGAGACGCGTTTCCCCTTCCTGGACGAGGAATTCGTGGCTTGGGTGCTGCGGGCTCCCGTATGGGAGAAATGCGGATTCGGACTTCCAGAGATCGACGCTACGGCTGGTATTGACGCTGAGAAGTTGGCGCTGCGGCTTGTTGCTCTGCGGCTGGGCTTGGTCGGTGTTTCTCGTGAGAAGAAGAGGGCTATTCAGTTTGGTGCGAGGACGGCTAAGATGGAGACGGGGAGGTCGAGAGGTACGGATGCTTTGAGCTGAGATAGGCTAGACTCGTGGCGGATGGATTTCTGCTACTTGTTGTTTCGAGTCTTTCGAGGTGCTTTGCACATGCGCATCCCACATACATCTTCCTACATCCATCCATCTACTCTTTCTTTCTCTCCATTATAGACTCCTTTTTCCTTTCATTTTCCGCATTTTCTTTGACTATCTCTCTCCATCCACCACCAGCTATGATGACAGAACATGGAAACAGATACTTCCGAAACCTCCACCTCACCCAACAACCCAACCTTCCTTCATTTCAATACACACAACATCCACATACACACCTATCCATCTCAAATCCCGACCTTTGCACCAGAACCCCAAACGCCCCATTTCTCCTAGTGTCTCGCACCCTCTTTCGTTCATCCATAGAGCAACAGCAGTCCTCGGACGGCGCGTAGCTCATGCTGAAAGGAAGCGGGCGAGGCGCGTTCTAAGGGAGGAATGGAGTGCTGTTTGGCTTTTTGGTACAGGGAGGGGATTTGGGAGTCGGGTTGGGTTGTGAGCATGAATGGTATGAGATGAAGGGTAGTTGGGGGGATCGGGGTGTGTTTATGAGGCGTTTAAAGGCAAGTCTGAGCTGCTTAGATTGATACACTTTCACTTGAGGGATATGCAGATAGATCATCTTGGGATACGGAGTCCGTGGGTACTTGGAAGGAGCTTCGTACTAGGGAGAACCATGAACTACACTTTATCTTCAAGAGGTAAGCCCACTAGAGCACAGTTTACAGTTAATATCAAAATTTAGAATGTAATTGAACAAAGCAAATTCCACATTAAGATAGCCACGAGTCAATCCCAAAAGGGAGACGATCAGAACCGGCCTAACAAAAAATGATCAAAACCAAGTAGGGAGCTTGAAGCAGCAGAGCGGGAAACAAAAGTGTGAACACAGATCAAAAAAAGAAACATTGACTGAGGAACGCGTCTCAAAACTTTTAGAGAATCAGATGAAACGAACTAAATCGCCATCTGACCTCGGTGAGACGTCGGGGCTAGGCTTTACCCATCACCCGCGCCTACCACAATACCCAGAGGGTCAAAAGGAAAACAAAAACAAAAGCATAGACTGAATGTCCAATCGTTACAATCGTCAGAATCACCAAGTGGGCCATAAGCCAAATACCAATGTTCCCAAATTAGGATGGAATGACCAAGATGGGATGAAAACATCACCATTACTGGTAGGTGTTTTGAATCTGGAGCTGAGCCTTAAGCTTGGCAATCTCCGCGTCGCGCTCAGCGATGATCTTCTGAAGATCCTCGATGCGTCGCTCGGAAGTAAACTGGCGTTCCATCTTCTTGGCACGCGACTTACGCGCTGCCTCAGTGTTACGAGCGCGCTTCGCAGCAACAGGGTCATTAGGGTCGAACTCAATGGGCGACAGGTTCTTGCGCGATCTCGCATTGACACCTGCGACGCTGGAGTGCTTGACTGCACCGGAGGCGGGAACAGGCGACGATGCCACCGATCGCTTTGCGCGGGGAGAGGCAGGAGACATGGGAATTGGCATGGCTGGCTTCTTCTTCTCTTCGGTGGAGAAGGCAGCCGCGACATCCAAAGTAGCGAGGTCAAAAGCGTTTAGTGGATCTGACGAGTGATCAAAGAGGGAGGGCCATTCTTCGTGGCCGGCAATATCCATGTCGGCGAACATGGGCGAGGTGTTTTGGCTGAAATTGCCGGGCGACTCAAACGAGGGAGTGCTCAAATCGGTGAAAGTGCCGGAGGGAGGAACAGACGCATCCATCATCAGATCCTTTGGCGAGATAGTGCCAGAAGGACCTTCAGAAGAGAAGTCGTTTGCCAGGCCAAGATCGTTGAACGAGAGAGCTGAATCCATACCAGCAGGGAAGTCGGCAGAGGGAAGACCGAAAAGATCAACCTCGTGAGCTTTCATGGGGTTAGCGATATATTCGCTAGAACATCGTGAAGTGTATGATAAATTACCTTCCATGAAGTTGGGAGTGGACATGACACGTCTATATGGTTGCGTGTTGTTTTTGTGGTTTTGTTGACCGTTGAAAAGTGGGATGGGAGGGCGGTTGGTGTTTGGAGAATTGGAAGGCACAGAAGCCGTGTTGGAACGGCTGTGCGTGAACGTGGGACGGGACCAATAAGAGGGGGACCGGGCAAGCTGGGTCACTCTGGGGTCTTGGACAGGTGAGCCAGAGTACTGCTGCTGGAGATGTCGTTGCAACTGCAGACTGAAGGAGTGTCGTCGAGGGTTATTCTGCGCCAGGAATGGCTGAAGTGCAGAAGGTCTATGGGTTGTGTTCACGGGCACACGCGAGCGGGGCTGCGGGTGTGGTGTTGCTGATGGATAGAGCACAAAGTCCTCGAGTGCACTGTTGTTGTTGTTGCTGTTGTTGTTCTGATTGGAAGCCAAGGGCTGTGGAGGTGGGGGTGAGGGAAGCCATGGTTGCTGGTGGTAATCCGTGGTGAACGACGTTAAGTCGATCGGGGTGAAGTTGTTAGGAGAACTCGAGCTACGCGATGCGATGCTGAAGTTCAGAGGTCCAAAAGGAGACTCTGAAGGGGGAAGAGAGGAGATTGGAGGGTTGGTTCTTGAAGAAATAATGTCTGTCTCAGTTGAGAAAGACTGGCTGTTCGAAGACGGGGGGCTTATTGGGCACCCATTTTGGCGATAGTGAAGTTGAATATAGTTCTGGTCTGACAGCAATTTGGCGGTTTATGTGAATATAAGGGGATGTGTTTATGAAGGAAATGGGTATAAGGAAGAAAAATCAGGCAAACGGGGAGGGGGAACTCAGGCACTTCTTAAGGGTTGTGTGCCCTGGTGCTGACCAATCGGGACTCCGGAGCCGCACGGGGCTTAGTCCTGAAAGTCACGGGGTGTGAGTCACAGTGTGATCCATGGTTCTGATTGGTTACATTTGACAGGCATCCATCGAGTCCGCAGTACATGCCACGGTACCCGCATATTCGCCTGCATTTGCCTACATAGTCCAAGTATCTTTCAAGTACCTGTCTCCACGATCCTCTCCGCTTCTTTCCAAATTGACCAATAGTCGATCATATTCCTATCCGTCCGGGAATACCCAGGCATCCTGCATTTTTGGTTTTTAAATTTTTATCTTTTTTCTTTCCATTTTTCTTATTCCTAAAAGCCTCTCAAACCACATGTACAACGGTACCAAACTCCCTGGTTGAGGAAATCAATTCCATCCAGGAACCAAGACAATTCCTCCTCCTTCGTGTCAGCCGTACCAACTCGGGGAGGTACAGCCGTTCTCCATGAGGATAATGAGGAAAAAGGATCCACCGATCTTTTCCCAATTGTGTCCCCGCGGTGGGCTGAGTCCATGGCCAATGTCCTATGAGACGCTCGTATTTTCTTAGTCCTGCCGAAGGGCGTGAAAATTGACTTTTTAACGTTTGTCCTTTCTGGTCTCCAGATGAAATATTTGAATGTACTCCGTACCATGTTACAACATATATGGAGACATAAAGCCGTGGTAAATCGTTGTGTCTTTTATATATACTTGGTTTCAGAAAAAATCGCTCAATGGGATATTGGCTTACGAAGTACGGAGTACTCCGTACGTATTCGGTCCACGTGCTTCGATTAAAATTCTTAGACTCTCGACGCTATACGGACTACGGACTCCGGACTATGGAACACTCCGTAATCCAGACCCAGTTAATTGATTTTTTTTCTCTTGATGTGGGTTTTCATGATTCCGACGTATCTTGCAAGGGCCGAAGCTTCGCCGAAATGGGTGCCCGCTGGAGGACACGTTGCAGACATATGTGATTGACGAGAAATGTCATCAATATTAGTCTTACAATCAATATACCATCATATTGCGAAATGTGGAATTTAGGTAGCCACGATATGAGCTCGAGGCCAATATCACGGGCATCGTGTACACCATACCTGTCTGCCTAGTGGAATGGTGGTTTCCTGAAATGAGGCTATTTGGTATGGCAATGATTCAAGCAAAATGCACCCCAGACTGCCAACGCATCGCGATGGGTCGCTAGATCTTCAACTACGAGTATTGCTTGCATACACATATGCAAACTATATGGACCCGATTTTTTTCTGGGTGGGACTTTCCTACGACATAGAATTGAACATGCCCTATTACGACTATGTAGGACAGTCCAAGGAGTCACGAATTGGCCAGTCTTACCTGGGACTGAACGACTCAGTACGTAGTACGTTGGTAAGATTATTCCAAGGCGTTCGGCATTGAATTAGTGCAAGTCGTGAAGATGAAGCCGGCGGTAACACTTCCATTTATGACGCTGCGGAAAGGGAGTGTTGCTGAGTCTCCGCGTCGGTATTGATCATTGGAAGCGAAAGCAGCGAGTAGCACAGCCGAAGCAACGAACAATCCAATCACTTTCCCATATGACCAGGGATACTTTGTCCCGGCCCAAGATAGCGAGACAAAGAGCGCTGTTAGGGATGTGATGAACAAGCAATGGCTGATGAGGTCCAGCTATCTGATTTTCTAAGGGTCGAAATGCAGATGAGGACCATGCCACGTCGGCGATAGCGTGGACATGGTTAGTAATGCTCGGTGCGGCTATAAGGACGATGTTGGCGTTTAGGTCTCTAAGGATAAGGACCACGCATAATGCGATGAAAGTGAACCAAAATGTGGTTCCTGTTGGATAGTTGGGCTGTATCTGGGCTAGATTCGATGTTGAGAGGATTAGTTGTTGCTACTATAGGTGGTGGTTGCTATTGCTGCAGGTCAACGCTTCGTGCTCGAGGGAAAGGAGCTATGTCGTGGTTAGCCACCATCGTACTGTAATCTCGAGAATGGGCATATGGGAAGAAAGAGATGAGTAGAAGAGTCTCCAACACCATACAAGATGGATATGGTCAACTTCGAGCGGGTGCTCTGCGGCCAAGCTGGTAGGGATTAGTACAGTACATTCGAGCGCCACGTGCAAGGATTCTCACTTGCTCACCTCGACACCATCCAAACTATTCATCGTGTTCAAGACTACATTTAATACATACAATGGACACATATGTAAAGCAAAAACTGAGAGATTCTATTAAGTATTACCTATCGCAAGGTGTGCCACCTCCACTAGCGGAATATAAACCAGCCGTTAGGGACAATAACGGTAGACAACATTAGAGGGTCAATTTGGGTTGCAGGAAGAAACAAGTCAAGAGACCATATCCAAAGCTCAAGCAACAAGCAAAATGAGCACCCATCCTCCCCACAGGGTATCAAACACAAGAGCAGGAAACCAAAAAAGAAGAAAAAACGGCAGAGTGGTATCAATCTAGTCGGACGACACACCACGTAACACATAGTCGCGTCGCGAATAGAGTCACAGTCGCGGGACGCAGGTCGCAAAGGAATGAACCGCAGTCCAAACGGCTGCTGGCATCGTTGGCGCCGACGGTATTATTTTTAGAGAAATAGAGATCAAGGGAAAAAGGCGACAGCGGGTATCTCATTGTCGCCATCTCAGGTCCAGGCCCAAAAATAGGGGGCCAGGTGTACTGAAAATAACGACAGTGGCGAGGGTAAAGCAAAACAATTAGAACGAAGTGGTATCAAAATTTCACCTTCTGGACTCAATTAAACCGTCAGGGATATCGCGAGCGGGGCGGTGGGTAGGACGTCCCACCATCGTTCAAACTCCACGACAGGTCTCCGAGTCGCACTTCATGCGGCAGCCTGAACAGGGGTGGCGACGGCAACGTTGACGTTCTTGGACTCCTCAGCGGTCTCGGTGGCCTTGGGGGCCTCCTCGACGGCACCGGGGGCCTCGGTGGCAGTCTCCTTGGCAGGGACGGCGGGAGCCTCCTCAGCGGCGTCAGGCTTGGCCTCGGTCTCAGCGGCAGCGACCTCCTCCTTGTCGAGCTTGACAGCCTTGCTGGGCTTGCGGAAAAGACCGCCGAGCTTCTTGGTCTTGGTCTCCTTTGTCTCACCGTCGGTGACTTCGTTGTCAGAATCAGCCTTCTTCTCCTTCTTCATGCCAAGGTTGCCGAAGAACGAAGTGCGGCGCTTCTCCTTGGGGGTGGAGACGGCCTCGGCAGCAGGAGTCTCGGCAGCAGGGGTCTCCACAGCGTCAGCGGGAGCAGTCACAGCCTCGGCTTCGATGGGCTTGACGGCGGCCTCCTCGACGGGGTTCTCGAGCTGAGGAGCGGTGCTGGCGACGGGAGTCTCCTCGGCGGCGGGGGCGGTAGCCTCCTTCTCGGACTTCTCCTGGGAGGGGCTGGCGACCTTCTGGAAGAAGTTACCGAAGATGGAAGCACGCTTGGCCTTCTTCTCGGCCTTCTTCTCATCCTTGACCTCCTCCTTGGCGGCTTCGGTAGTCTCAGTAGGGGTCTCAGCAGTAGGCTCGGCCGCCTCAGTGGGGGCAGCAGCAGTCTCGGTGGTCTCAGCAGCAACAGGGGCAGGAGCCTCAACAGAGGGCTCAGCAGCAGGCTCAGCGGCCTTGGTCTCCTCGGCAGCGGGAGTCTCCTCCTTCTTGTCCTCAGCCTTCTTCTCCTCGGCGTCCTTCTTGCCCAGAAGGGTGCCGAAGATGCTGGTGCGCTTGCGGGACTGGGAACGGCTCTTGGCGGCGGCCTTCTCCTCCTTCTTCTCTTCCTTGGGCTCCTCCTGAGTGGCCTCAGCAGCCGCAGCGGGTGTCTCCTCCTTCTTGTCCTCAGCCTTCTTCTCCTCGGGCTTCTTGGCGGCGGCAGCGGCAATGGCAGGCTTGGTCAGCTTCTCAAGCTCAGCCTTGTAACCCTCGCCGGAGGTGATGGTCTCCTTCTCGGCCTTGGCTTCGGTGGCCTGGGCCTCGATGGCGACAACCCAGCTGTCACGTTCGGCGGCACTGGAGGCCTGGAAGGTGTGCTTCTGGCCAGCAACCTTGAAGAGGAACTCGCTGGTACCCTCCTTGGTCACGTCAGAGACATCGGCCTATTAGACATGTTAGTTTGCGACGTCACGGTACAGTCGTCGAAGCACTTACAAGGTTGAAAATGCCAGCGGGGGTGGCCTTGTCCTCAGCGCGCTTGGTGAAGAAGAGCAGACCCTTGCCGGTTTGGCTGGCCCAGGCGGCGGTGGGGTTGGCGACAGCGGCCTTCTCGTTCTGGTGGAAGACGGAGAGCTGCTTGCTCTCAACAGCCTCCTCGTTGAAGTAGAAGAAGCGCTTGGCGAAGCGGAAGCCCCTGAAAAAAAAACAAAGAATAACCGTTAGTCTCCGTGTCGCATCTATGATCTCAGTCGCAGCTTACTTGACAAGACCAGGAGCCTTGTATCCCAAAACCCCCTCGGTAGCGGGCTTCACCTCCTCCTTGGCGGGCTCAGCAGCCTCGGTGTTCTCAACGGCGGGAGTGGCAGTGGGCTCGGCGGCCACAGTGGTCTCCTTGGGAGCTTCAGCTGCAGCCTCTGTGGCAGCAGGAGTCTCAACAGGGGTCTCAGCAGCAGTCTCAGCGGCAGGAACGACCGCGGGGGTCTCCTCAACAGTCTTCTGGACCTCAGACATGATTAAAATAATAAAGGTATTAAAGAAGCTGAGCTTCGTAGAATAAAAGGCGTGTTGGGGTATAGGGTATCTCAAAGGAAAAGCAAAAGAAATTAGAGCACAATAGCTCGGGTATCACGAAGTATGGGTATTTTGCTTTGTGGGAGGAAGAAGGGAAGAGAGGAGAGGAAAAGGGAAAAAAAAGGTCAGAGGGTTGTTGATGGCGTCCGCCCAAAAACGGCAAGGACCTGCAGGGAGCCCAGAGCTCAGTGGACCCGTAGATCCACAAGGAGATTAGGTAATGGCACTTCAGGGGTTAATTGTTTTTTTCCTTTTTTTCAGTGTTTTTTCAGTTCAATTTTTCCCGATTATTTCATATTATTCTCTATTATTATCACCCTCGTTTCATCTATTGCTGCCTTTTTTTTAAATATCTCAGTGTAAAATTTAATATGTAACCTGGAATACGGTTTGCAACTAACTTTGTAGTCCTGGTGGAACGTAAGTCAATCTACTCCCGTCTATCCAAAGGATGGGATACTTCGTAACGAACCCGAACTTCTTTGTCTAGCACGGCGCTAGACATGATCTAACTGGATTTAGTTCCTAAACATCAGGGAATAGGAGAAAGAAAACTCTGCAAATCTTGGCTTTCAACTGTATGAAACCATCACACCATGGCCACCCAAGCTATGATCGGCCATGCAGCTTGAATTAACGGCCCCGTTGAGTCCCTAATTAATCTGTGCAGTTCGGCTCCTCTTACCGATTTGACAATATGTCTTTCAGCACTTCTTTTTGTTTCATGTGCATTCTATTCTATACCAAAAAATGCCGTCATATCGTCATAGCGGGGTTATCTCGGATAGCATCAGGTCATCAGACTATCAAAAAAGTGTAAGTGCACAATTCCATACTTCCTGGCCTCGTAAGGAGATTCTACGATTGTTCGGTGAACCGCCACACCGTTGGCACTCATTCCACATCATTTTCAACTACCCCCGTTACACAGTTCAAGGGGGGTCTGCTGTCAGAATTACTGAAATGATCCATTCATTGTCAAATCAACTGAGCGTTTCGATGCTTCTTTCGTATTACTCCGCATAGTCGGGAACTTGATCCAAGCTTGCAATTCTCCCTCGGAAGGGCCATATTGGCACTAGAATATCCCTTTGGAGGGGCATCCCTGTACTCCAACCGCCCCCACCACAAAACAGCCCGTCATTTTGCTTCCTTGATGACGATCAGCCCAATACGTAGTAGATATGGATATTTGTCGCGTTCATTCACATGGCTTAGGCCCGGTATTGGCTACCAGGGCCATGCATCTATCTTTAGGTTCTGCAGAATGGTTGGCCATCACGACTTCCTGGTGCAATCTTTACTCAGATCTCATGACCTGAATCAACTCTATGATGGAGTGGCGTGCAAATCCTCGTGGACAACCAACCAGCAGTGATACAACCCCTCCTTCTTGGTTCTGGTTTTGGTGTATATCCCTATCGGCGTATCAACTCTCTTTACCACGATGCGGGAAGGATCCCATGATGTCTTCGTCCAGCCAATCCCGACACATTTACAGAGCGTCGCGCCTCTTTACGTGATATGTGCATCATTCCATACGACAATCGTCTCATCATACTTCCAATCCACGGAGTACTCTCTACTGAGTATGGTCATTGTACCAAAGAACATTTTTGAAACTAGAAATAAGATCCACCAGCTTGTGGAATAATACTCCTAATTAAGCCCCTTTTCTTCACCCTTTGCAAAATACAACATACTCCGCACATTCTAGAATTATCAGTGATAATACGGAGTACAATCAAGAAGGTACGTTGTCCCCACCGGACTATGCATTCAAGTTTCAAGTCTTGGCGAATAGGGGGCTGGCCAGCCCTATCTGCAAACTCAGCACAGGTGAATCAAAGCGCTGAAGCGCTTTATCTAGTTCATTTCCACGGTTCATCGACAAGATAGTGTCTCAAAGCCCGACATGAGAACGGAGTACCTTGGTACGCAGCTCTCTTTGCATACAATAATGGATACTATGACATAGTCACCATTTTAGTTCCTAGAAGTACGGAGTGCGTGGTATGATTCTGGGTCTACAACTCCCATCAGGACCAGCACCATGAAGTCCCAATGCTGGCTGCCAGAATGTGGCCATCAAAGCATTTCCAGTAATGATAGCCACACGGGGGGGATCCCCCCCTGCTCCGTAACTCATCACACCCTCTCATAGGCCCCTTTTTTGAACCCGTCAGAGCCACCAGCGCTATTAAGGACCATTCATGTACCCAATCCTGCCGTGTTCGCCCTCTTTTTGCGGTCGCAAGTCCGAAGTCTCAACCCTGCTCCTGCCGCGTCCTATGAATGGTTGGAATTTACCGACCATCGACGATCACATCATTCTTCCAAGTCGGGCTTGTCAATCTTTGCTTCTCTCTTGTTACTGTGTGGACTAAATTTTGACACCATGCAAGTGCCATGCGTAGCGGAGCCCGGGCGCCGACAACATTCTTTCCCGCTTTTTCAGATGCATATTTCTCCATCTGACGACACTGTACTCCGTAGTTGTGATTGTCCCACGCACATACATTGTACCGTACGTGTTGCAGATAACTATACGTTTCAAGCAGAAAAAAAAAGAAACTAAAATTCAGTGCCACAGCTGCAGAACTAGAGTTCGGTCCACATTCTTTTGCTTTCGAGAACAGAACATATCTCCCGAGCGCGTTACGGAGGAAATTAATCTTGATACTTCACGCCAAGCACCAACTCGACCTACGGTGTACACAGGGGACAGATTTCCCGTCCATCTAAGCTCTCCGATGGCCCCCGACGACTTTAGCGTCTACTAGATCGACTTAAACCATGGCACGCTTTGATGAGGATGGGCATTTGTTTATTATTAGCTTGATATTAGCTGTGGGTTTCTCACCCGGTTTAATCTTGTTAGAACACTGAACAAAGGTATACTTCCGACGGACAGTACCCAAATCAAATTGTGATTCAAACGTCTCTCGGGCTTTTTGGGTAGTACGGGAGGTGAGGGCCACAATACAAAGTTGTGGAATAGGGGAGGATCCACACAAGCTCGGGTATGGAGTCTGGCTTGTTTTTGAGGCGTCGAGTCTCGAATAAGGATGTTTCAATTATTGATTCATCACTGCAGTCTGTGTGTTGCTTCAAGATTTCATTTCCACTCCGGCGCAAGCACGTAGAACCTAAGGAAATAAATGCATGGTACCTGTGTCCTATACGTTGTACTCCGTACATGCACATACGACTCCGTAGGGCCATTCCCGACAGGTCAGAGCCCGTCCACGGGTCCAAAAAGAGGGCGGTAGATGAGTCATATCACATGCAGCTGCCCAGGTGGGGCTGGCCTCCAGGCTCTAGGGGGGTCTTGGTGGTGTCACGTGATCTCGCTTATTGGCCAATCGGCAGTCGCTACCAGCCCCAAAATTTGCCACCGCCTTTGGGATTGCGTATAAATAACCCCTTCCCCCCCGGCTGTTCCTCTTCTTTTTCTTTCTTCTTCATACTTACCTTGTTTGGGTGACTGCGATCAACAAGGCGGCTCACCACAGACTGGTCCCTGCATTGCACAGCGTGGCGGAACAGTCTGTTCAATGGTTCTTTACGGGTCATTGACAGGCGTATTCTTTGGCACTCTCCATTCGTGGAACTTCTTTTCATCAAGTTTTGAGCCAGTGGCTCGAGGTTGGAGAAGAGATTTAGCGTATAGATAATGATGCTCTAGTTTGAAGCTGTCGTTTACCTTGACCCTTCACCTGTACTTGTACCTGTTTCGTTCTGTGCACCGTCTTGTTCCTGTAGTGTCTATAGAAAGACCCTTAATCCCGAGTCCACTGTCCAGGGAAGAGTGGACGCGCATCAATGGCTGTCCGCTGTCCTCAATGAGAGCACGTTCACTTTGAGTTCATTCTACGACCCTTGAGTGCTCAGTGTCCCATACTATCACTCCTGACTGCTGGATTCTCACTTCTTGGCTCCGTTTTGTTGACATGACGTCTGACTCGGTGGCTTCGCCACACATGTGGCGACCAAGCGACAGGCCAACTCTTGCCAGCATAAAACCAGCCATGACATCCTACTAAAGCCAAATTCACGACAGCTTGAATTCTAGTCTACCATCACTCTTCCCTACGGCCTACTTCTCTCACCACTGCCGCTTTCGCGACCAAAAGGTTCAACCAAGATGCCCGTCCCCACCGCTGACCTCTTTGACAAGCAACAACACGAAGCCAACTGCACACAACCTCCCAGCTCTTCTACACACACTTCCTCCGACCAGATCAACAACAACGGCTACTTCGGGACCGCACCTGGCAACTCAGCTAGTGCGTCGCAGAACGCCGATAGTGGTCGCGCTCTGACCAAGGAGGAGGCCGATCGCCTGTACGAGGAGCGGATGGAGGAGGAATACGCGAAGAGGGATGGTGGTGCCTAAATCGCTGTACCGCTGGACATATCTAATCCTGTGTGCTCGTCGACCCCAGTGGAGAGGTCCAGTCGATAGGAGCTGGTGTCTACTGATGATTTGGCATCGCGAGGACCGGGTTGGGCTTTCTTTTTTCCTTCGTACGACTGTGTAACGTATTTCACTACCGAGTGACGCACACCACCGAGTGACGCACCTAACCCAACCTATTAAATTTAAATGCATTTTTCTCAACCAAAACGCCATTAAATTAAATAAACTAAAATCTTCATCTATCT